GTGAGTGAGGGGTGGGTGAGTGGGTGGGTGAGTGGGTGGGTGGGTGGGTGAGTGGGTGAGTGAGTGGTTGAGTGAGTGGGTTGAGTGAGTGAGTGGGTGGGTGAGTGAGTGAGTGAGTGGGTGGGTGAGTGAGTGGGTGAGTGAGTGAGTGGGTGAGTGGGTGAGTGAGTGGGTGAGTGAGTGAGTGGGTGGGTGAGTGAGTGAGTGGGTGGGTGGGTGAGTGAGTAAGTGAGTGGGTGAGTGAGTGGGTGAGTGAGTGAGTGAGTGAGTGGGTGGGTGATGGGTGGGTGAGTGGGTGGGTGGGTGGGTGAGTGGGTGAGTGAGTGGTTGAGTGAGTGGGTTGAGTGAGTGAGTGGGTGAGTCATTAAGTGACTGGATGGGTGAATGAGTGAGTGACTGGATGAGTGGGTGGGGGTAGTGGGGGAGGGTTGTGTTGGGGGTAGTGGGGGGGAGTAGTGGGGGGGATGTAGTGGGGGGGGATGTAGTGGGTGTGGGTAGTGGGTGGGGGTAGTGGGGGGAGTAGTGGGAATGGAAGTGGCCGCGTCGAGGTTCTCGTGTGTGCACTCCAAGCGACATGTACAACATGAAACGGGTGGGGGTGGGTTGGTGGTGGGGGGCGGGTTAAGGTGCCTTCTCGGTTATTCGGTGTAAGTTTTGTTCTCCCAACCAAAGCGCTTGTTCCGTGTGGCCACCACGTCTGGTGAAGGTGGTGCTGGTTTGCCTGCGTTTGTGGCTGTGGGGGTTGGGGGGGCTTTCAGGGTGACCGGTTTTCTTTTTTTTATCCAAAAAAGCTTTGTGGGAGCTCTGCACCCGGTGTTTTGTGACCAGGTCAGGCGTGTAAACAACCCAGTAGTAGGACATAAGGTGAACTAGGTAAAAGCGGCTAGAAAATGATTTTTTCCCACACCTGGGCACTACTTTTTAAATGATTTTTTTTATTGACAAAACCATTATCGACTTTATGTTAAAAGTTCTCCGCAAAATACCCTGCAGTTTTTTTTTCAAAATCCATAAATGTATATAATTGTGAATTGGAAAAAACGAAAATCTTATGCTGCTGGTTTTGTTTGTAACTTTATTTATATACATTTTAGCAACACCAAATATCTCTCAAACTGACACTTATACATGTACCTAGACACTTGAGACAGGTTTTGGTGCATTATATACTCAAGTGTGAATGTAGACCATGAAATATGGCACATTTGTAGAAAATATGCTTCAACTTCACGGATTGGCACTAAGCAAAATTAAACATAAACATTTTAAATTTAGCAAAACTGTGATGTTTTGTACACAAAATTTTCAGTAGGTACCGTGTAATCACAGAAAGATACAAATATAAGCACACTTTGGCCCAAGTTGGCTGAAATGACTCGAAATGCTACACTGTCCCCTTGTTTTGGAATGCTGCCAAAAAAAATTACAATTCTACCACAGATTCTTTACAGCTCAAAATCACCTTAAATATAACACAGCGCATATTTACTCATCGGTATCATCCCTATTACTATCAGAGCCATCATCCCATGTAGGTCTTCTGTTTCCTGTGAAACATTTGCACAATTTTGGCACTGACACAAATCAGTACAAGACAGTCTTGCAGACATCAGGAACATCTCCCAGTCTCACATTTGCTCTGCTTGCAACTGCAGTGGACTGCCTGCAACACACTTTCAGGGGCAGGGTTTCTAGTCAGCCAGGTCACTGTTCACTCACCATCCTGGGGTGCCATCCATTGCCGACGGGTGAAGGGGCACACATTGTACCTTGCAGAGAATGTCTCATGATGGCTGCTTGGTAGTTTTCCCTTTTGCAGTGTTGGTACAGGGCGTCACTTGTCGGGGGCACGGATAGTTCTGGCGAAGCTGACGATGCCGTACAGAATGCTTTGTATCTTGCATCGTTCACATTTTCGGCAGATGACTGGCCATACAGGTGGCACTCATGTGCAAAGTAGCTCAGAGGTAGACTGGTCTAGGTTAAAACTGCTACCCAGATTTGTAAAGGCAGTCAGATATTCCTCTTTCTCACAAGCAACAGGAAATGCCTTTCTTTTGCCTTTGCCATAAAAGGCACTTGTAGAGTCACAACCTGAGAAGGTATGGATCCCAATAAGTGCCAAACAGACACTTGTGCTAAGAGCTGACGACACCTTAGCTAAGTCAATGAGCCTTGTTTTGTTGCCAACCCCCGTGAAAAAATACAAGACATTTGTGGTATTCAAATTATCTGTAGTTTGAAGCATCAAGATCTTCATGTTTTTTCACCAGATTTAAAAAGATCCTTCTTAGCTGAGTCATTGTCAACACCTCTTGGTTTACAATTATTCTATGGCGGATGATTATTCTATGGCGGATGATTGTGGTGGTGGTGGTGAGGAGGTGGTGGGTGATGGTGAGGGTGAGGTGGTGCTGGTGAGGGTGAGGAGGGGTGAGGGTGAGGAGGTGGAGGAGGTGAGGGTGGTGAGGTGAGGGTGAGGAGGTGAGGGTGAGGGGGTGTTGGTGGTGAGGGGGTGGTGGTGGTGGGGGGTGGTGGTGGTGAGGGGGTGGTGGTGAGGTGGTGGTGAGGGTGAGGAGGTGGAGGAGGTGAGGGTGGTGAGGTGAGGGTGGTGAGGTGGGGGTGAGGGGGGTGGTGGTGGTGAGGGGGTGGTGGTGGTGAGGGGGTGGTGGTGAGGGGGTGGTGGTGAGGTGGTGGTGGTGAGGGTGAGGAGGTGGAGGAGGTGAGGGTGGTGAGGTGAGGGTGAGGAGGTGGGGGTGAGGGGGTGTTGGTGGTGAGGGGGTGGTGGTGGTGAGGGGGTGGTGGTGAGGTGGTGGTGGTGAGGGTGAGGAGGTGGAGGAGGTGAGGGTGGTGAGGTGAGGGTGGTGAGGTGGGGGTGAGGGGGTGGTGGTGGTGAGGGGGTGGTGGTGGTGAGGGGTGGTGGTGAGGGGGTGGTGGTGAGGTGGTGGTGGTGAGGGTGAGGAGGTGGAGGAGGTGAGGGTGGTGAGGTGAGGGTGAGGAGGTGGGGGGTGAGGGGTGTTGGTGGTGAGGGGTGGTGGTGGTGAGGGGGTGGTGGTGGTGAGGGGGTGGTGGTGAGGTGGTGGTGGTGAGGGTGAGGAGGTGGAGGAGGTGAGTGGTGGTGAGGGTGAGGGTGAGGGTGGGTGGGTGGTGAGGGGGTGGTGGTGGTGAGGGGGTGGTGGTGGTGGTGAGGGGGTGGGTGGGGGGGGTGGTGGTGAGGTGGTGGTGGTGAGGGTGAGGGGTGGAGGAGGTGAGGGTGAGGAGGTGGGGGTGAGGGGGTGTTGGTGGTGAGGGAGTGTGGTGGTGAGGGGGTGGTGGTGGTGGGGGGTGGTGGTGAGGAAGTGAGGGTGAGGAGGTGGGGGTGAGGGTGAGGGGGTGGTGGTGGTGAGGAGGTGAGAGTGAGGAGGTTGGTGGTGGTGAGGGTGAGGAGGAGGTGGTGGTGGTGGTGAGGAGGAGGTGGTGAGTGATGTGGTGAGCGTGTGGTGAGTGATGTGGTGAGCGTGTGGTGAGTGATGTGGTGAGCGTGTGGTGAGCGTGTGGTGAGTGATGTGGTGAGTGATGTGGTGAGTGATGTGGTGAGCGTGTGGTGAGCGTGTGGTGAGTGATGTGGTGAGCGTGTGCAGGTGAGCGTGTGTGGGAGTGATGTGGTGAGTGATGTGGTGAGTGGTGAGTGATGTGGTGAGTGGTGAGTGATGTGGTGAGTGATGTGGTGAGTGGTGAGTGATGTGGTGAGTGATGTGGTGAGTGGTGAGTGATGTGGTGAGTGATGTGGTGAGTGATGTGGTGAGTGATGTGGTGAGTGATGTGGTGAGTGTGTGGTGAGTGATGTGGTGAGCGTGTGGTGAGCGTGTGCAGGTGAGCGCTGTGAGTGAGATTACGAAGAAGATTCGCAGTCTGCAGGAAACGATGGACCAGTTCAGTGACAAGGTGGGAACTTCACCAGAATCACGACCATCATCATCACCACCACCATCATCATCATCATCACCACCATCATCATCACCACCATCATGACCATCACCATCATCATCACCACCATCATGACCATCACCACCACCATCACCACCATCATGACCATCATCATCACTATCACCATCACCACCATCACCACCACCACTACCATCATCACCACCACCACCATCACCACCACCACCATCATCACCATTACCATCATCACCATCACTACCACCATCACCACCACCACTACCATCATCACCATCACCATCACCACCATCATCACCACCACCATCATCACCACCACTACCATCACCACCACCACTACCACCACCACCACTACCACCACCACTACCATCACCACCATCATCACCATCACCACCATCATCACCACCATCACCACCATCATCACCACCACCACTACCATCACCACTACCACCACCACCACCACTACCACCACCACCCACCACCATCATCACCACCACCACTACCATCATCACCACCACCACTACCACCACCACTACCATCACCACTACCACCACCACCACCATCATCACCATCATCACCACCATCACCACCACCACCACCACCATTACCACTGTAGTAAGCTGCAAGAGGCTTGGACGACGGGGTTGGAGGCACACTTATTTATTACACCAACTTGTGTACAGTAACGGGTACACCCAGCACTTGAAGCGGTATCGTCCCCTTCACTCGTCTAACAGGGAGACACAACATCTAACCCCACTAATCTACGCCCGAGTCCTCCACTACGGAGCTAGGGGAGGCTACCTATCCCAGCCCTGGTCAAGCTGGGATCCCGGCACCCTGAGTCTCCAGACCGGCTCTTACAAGAACGTCAGTCTGGGCTCTCGGGGCCACGCCACCGGCTTGCCCTGGTCGGCCCTGACAAGGACAGCGAGCCAGGGGAGCTCCGGGGCCTATTCTAGCTGGTCTTTACTCTTCGCTGGTTAAGCTAATACTCGACCTCGAGCCCTCCGGCTCACCACCTTTTATAGCGCTCGGCCCCCGGGAGGGGCCCGTGGGGGATGCAGGTGCAGACGTTGGTGTGAGCACCTCCTCTGTGTACGGCCCTAACCACGCCCCTTGTGTTTGTTAGCCATCCGTGCCCATACATCTACACAATTACACCTCTACACTATTATAGAGTTTGGATAGCTACTACTACAGCCGGTGGATAAACTATACACTACACTATACACTCCACAGTAGTGCCGTACTGCGTAATGAATTGGCACGGTCTGTTCCTGTTGTTCTAAACCTTACTAAATGGCTGTGTCGGGTGGTGGCGGGTTTAACGACGGCGCAACATTTATATATTATTATTTATCTATTTGGTTGTCTACGTTCATTGTCGTTGTTTTTCTTTGCATTCCCCCCGCCAGATTCGTCAAGCAAGAAATGGACGATAATGCAGCGCTTGGGAAGCGGCCAGACTCTACGGAGATCCTGCAAGACATCGATGCTGGTGAGCACGGTGGCACCACGGTGGATAGCAGACGTTGACTACCTCGCCTGGTCTACAGGAGGTCGTGGGTTCGATCTTCTCTCATCATCATCACGGTGGCTATGAGACGTTGACTACCTCGCCTGGTCTACAGGAGGTCGTGGGTTCGATCTCTTTCTCATCATCATCACGGTGGCTATGAGATGTTGACTACCTCGCCTGGTCTACAGGAGGTCGTGGGTTCGATCTCTCTCTCATCACGGTGGCTATGAGACGTTGACCACCTCGCCTGGTCTACAGGAGGTCGTGGGTTCGATCTCTCTCTCATCATCATCACGGTGGCTATGAGATGTTGACTACCTCGCCTGGTCTACAGGAGGTCGTGGGTTCGATCTCTCTCATCATCATCACAGTGGCTATGAGATGTTGACCACCTCGCCTGGGATACAGGAGGTCGTGGGTTCGATCTCTCTCTCATCATCATCACGGTGGCTATGAGATGTTGACTACCTCGCCTGGTATACAGGACGTCGTGGGTTCGATCTCTTCTCATCATCATCACGGTGGCTATGAGATGTTGACTACCTCGCCTGGGATACAGGAGGTCGTGGGTTCGATCTCTCATCATCACGGTGGCTATGAGATGTTGACTACCTCGCCTGGTATACAGGAGGTCGTGGGTTCGATCTCTCTCTCATCATCATCACGGTGGCTATGAGATGTTGACTACCTCGCCTGGTATACAGGACGTCGTGGGTTCGATCTCTTCTCATCATCATCACGGTGGCTATGAGATGTTGACTACCTCACCTGGGATACAGGAGGTCGTGGGTTCGATCTCTCATCATCATCACGGTGGCTATGAGATGTTGACTACCTCGCCTGGTATACAGGACGTCGTGGGTTCGATCTCTCTCTCATCATCACGGTGGCTATGAGACGTTGACTACCTCGCCTGGTATACAGCAGGTCCTGGGTTCGATCCCGACCCTGACGCCTGTTGTACAATGCTCCCACCACACCGTCCTCCCGCCCGTCCGTACCTTTGCAGCAGACAAGAAGACTGCAAGCGCCGCCGGCGACAAGCGGCACGCGTGCGGGCAGTGCGGCGAGCGCTTTCCCCACTTCGAGACGCACACGGGCGAGAAGCAGTACGTGTGCGCCGTGTGCGGCAAGGGCTTTGCGCACGACTTCAACTTGAACCTGCGAGTGAGGTCGCACACAGACGAGAGGCCGTACGTTTGCGAGGAGTACGGGAAGGGCTCGCGCAGGCCTGCAACTTGAACCTGCGAGTGAGGTCGCACACGGACGAGAGGCCGTACGTTTGCGAGGAGTACGGGAAGGGCTCCGCGCAGGCCTGCAACTTGAACCTGCGAGTGAGGTCGCACACGGACGAGAGGCCGTACGTTTGCGAGGAGTACGGGAAGGGCTCCGCGCAGGCCTGCAACTTGAACCTGCGAGTGAGGTCGCACACGGACGAGAGGCCGTACGTTTGCGAGGAGTACGGGAAGGGCTCCGCAGGCCTGCAACTTGAACCTGCGAGTGAGGTCGCACACGGACGAGAGGCCGTACGTTTGCGAGGAGTACGGGAAGGGCTCCGCGCAGGCCTGCAACTTGAACCTGCGAGTGAGGTCGCACACGGACGAGAGGCCGTACGTTTGTGAGGATTGCGGGAAGAGTTTTCCCGGCTGCTCCGACATGAAGAGGCACGCCAGGACGCACGCGGGCGAGAGAACGTACGTGTGCGACGAGTGCGGGCAGGGGTTCACGCAGGTGGACAGCTTGCACGTGCACGCAAGGAAGCACACGGGGAGAGGCCGTACGTGTGCGCAGTGTGCGGCAAGGGGTTTGCTTTGCGTCGCCACCTTCAGCGGCACTCGGTGACTCACGGGGAGTGAGTCTAGCTAGGGAGGGGTCTAACCGAATACGTTTGGTGGTGCACACTGGGAGGCACGCACGCGGCCGTGAGAGGCTGTGAGCTCGGGGGGGCGTCGGGAATTATTTCAAGAAACAAATCTACACTACTATACACTACACTACTACACTACACTACTATACACTATACACTGCACTACTATACACTACACTACTATACACTACACTACTATACACTACACTACTATACACTGTACACTACACTACTATACACCACTACTATACACTATACTATACACTACACCACTATACACTACACTACTATACACTACACCACTATACACTACACTACTATACACTACACTACAATACACTACTATACACTACACTAATACACTACACTACTATACACTACACTACACTATATACACTACACTACTACTCTACACTACTATACACTACTACTATACACTACAATTATACACTACACTATACACTACACTACTATACACTACACTACTATACACTACACTACTATACACTACACCACTAACACTACACTATACACTACACTACTATACACTACACTATACACTACACTACTATACACTACTATACACTACACTACACTACTACACTACTATACTATACACTACTATACACTATTCACTACGATACACTACACTATACACTACGCTACTATACACTACACTACTATAACTATACACTATAATGACGATGGTAATAAAAAGTGCTATGACTTGCGCAGAGAACTTGGATTGAAGTGAGGGTGATTTGCGCGTCAACCTCACTCTCTCGACCAGCCGCATCTGTACCCAGTGGCGAGACGTAGTCAAGACGACTGGAGATGGTCCTGGTTGCAGTGGAACTGTGGAAGGTCCAAAGACCCGTTTTGGTGGAATTTCCTCCACCAGGGGTTCCACACGCCAGGCTCAGACTAGCCGAGTTTGCCGGTTAGTTATCCGCCGCCCGGGGTTCGGCGTTGGCAGCTGCTGACTGTAGCGACT